GACTTGTCGCCTGTCAGCACTGTCGCTAAGCTTTTAGGTAGCTTCCCTTGCACTAGCGTGTCCTCGGAATCGGTCTTCAGTCTAGCGGGGTGCTTGTCTCGTCGGGAGCGTTCAAGGCTTACGGCCGACCGCCTCCGAACTTTGGTTCTATTACGCTCGTAATTCATGTTCATTGTCGAGCCAGTGGCTCACTGCAGCAGTTAAACTGCTAGAGTAATTGCATAACACATCATTAACAATATCAATTTGACATGCTTAATAGATTCACGTACAGAGTCTTCACTATGGACTCGATTCGTGAGCCATGAGGATATTGGCAACAGAGTGTTGCTAGGGGATGATTAGATTCATTAGTGTAGTAATTCTTCCAATGCACGATCATGATAAGTACACAATTTTATCCGCATGTTGTGTTCTTATGGAGTGTAGAGCCTAGGGAGTCAAGGGATTCCGACTTTCCGGGCCGGAAATTCCGGCCGGGGAACCGGAAATCACGTCGGGACAGGAGGCTAATTCACGAAGCCGGGGTATTGGTCGGGCGGGACGGGGCGGCCACCTGTAAGCCACCCGGACTGCGGGTCGGCCGGGATCAGCCCAGAGGCAAATGCCCATCCCTGTATCAGGGAGAAAAGAAAAATTTCCCCCTTTTTCCCAATATGGGAAATTTCCCGCATTTTTCCCCGGAATTTCTGGGAAATTTTCCGCTCTGGGAGCAAGGTGCCATTATTCCCAAAATGACAAAACTCTGGTCGCGACTGCGCTATCCTCGCTGGAGATATAGTATGCCTGGCATACGGAGGGTCACAAAGCCACATAGCCGCAACTGCCCCGTCTTCGCTTGAGGCATACAGGGGCTGCTGAAGCTGCATAGCAGCGGCTGTCCTGTCCTCGCTTGAGGCATACAGGGGCTTGGAAAGCTGCATATCAGCGGCTCATCTGTCCTCGCTTGAGGCATACAGGTGCTTATGAGGCTGCATAGCCGCAGCTGAGGCGCGACGGGGGCTGAAGTTCGCCACCCCACTGGGGTGGCCCCAGTAGCCGCCGGACCACAAAATACTCGGAACAGGCAGCTGCCGCTTGAGATAGGCCGGGCCGGCTTTAACCTAAAGCCTTCAGGTCCAGGAAGGCATCAGTGGGAACCTCAAACCTTCGCAAGCCTGTAGATAGGGTTCTTCTGGCCCTTGAGTCCACCGACGTAGTCGGACCACTCTGGACCTAGAGATTAGTGCGCCTCTCATGCTCGAGGCTTGAAAGAAATCACACACGGCATAAACCGTCTGGTTCTGTAAAGCTGCGACGATGTTCGGCCGCACCGGTCGTTTCACGACGCACCCTGGATAAGGGTGAAGGACGCACCGCGGATGATATGCAAGTGTGTGACGGCGACGCACTGTGTGACGCGACCTTCGTATCGGTATTTATAAGTGTTAACTAGTTAACACTTATTACGGAGCGGCCCAGAATCGCTCACAGTGGCGAGTCAATTTCATATTCGCACAAAGTACGAAAAAAAGCTCCCAGAAGTCCCCTTCATTCCCGAGTCCTCGAAGCGTTCCTCACGCGGAATGATACTAAGTTAGTATTACTAACGAACAAGCTTCCGCATAAGTAAATTGTGCGGCCTAAAGCTCCTACGCATCGTACACGAGTTGATCGCCTACAAGGAAATGAAGGAGGCTCCTTCATTTCCTTGAATTTCTTTCATTTCTCCTTCAAGGAGCCCTAGATCGGTGTATTGGGGCCTCCATATCAGAGCGCTATGCGTAGTACAAATTGCGAAGCGAGCGGAGCATATACAGTAACAACAGGCACTTTCGCGTTTTGCGTGCGTGCGTGCGCCGCCGTGCGGAGTTTCCCGGCTTGACTACGGAGCATTGGAAGTAATCAGATAGATCAAATGACTCCTCTATATGCGGAGGTTTTGGAAAAAGTCGGAAAGCCCGATTATGCGAACAGCTCGAAGAGATATGCGCGAAAAACTTTAATGACGGAGAAATGTCCTATCCGGTATATAGAACGTAGTTAGATGAAGTTCATCTGATGAACCGGTTTGGGGCGGAGCTATCGAGCCGGGAACCTGTGTCAAATTCGCTGATCGAACCAATAGACGTGGACCAAGTGAGCTCCGCCCCTTCGTCAAGAAGGCCTAGTATGTAATATACGCGTACATATTATTTTGATCGATCATTAAGAGTTAGCTATTCTGTTAAGGTTCCCCATTTTTCGGTTCGCACCGATCTCTCTTGTTCGCCAATTGCGGCTTGGCCTTCCATTGTTAGTTCTCTACAACTCCCTCAACACCACCCGACAACAGGGAAGGATACTCTCGATGCAACCGAGGAGCGGTATGATGGGGCCGCTATGCCATTGGTACCGATCTCTCTTGTTCGTCAATTGCGGCTTGGCCTTCTATTGTTAGTTCTCTACGACTCTCTCAACACCACCCGACAACAGGGAAGGATACTCTCGATGCAACCGAGGAGCGGTATGATGGGGCCGCTATGCCATTGGTACCGATCTCTCTTGTTCGTCAATTGCGGCTTGGCCTTCTATTGTTAGTTCTCTACGACTCTCTCAACACCACCCGACAACAGGGAAGGATACTCTCGATGCAACCGAGGAGCGGTATGATGGGGCCGCTATGCCATTCGTACCGATCTCTCTTGTTCTTCACTTGCGGCTTGGCCTTCTATCGTTAGTTCTCTACGACTCTCAACACCACCCGACAACAGGGAAGGATACTCTCGATGCAACCGAGGAGCGGTATGATGGGGCCGCTATGCCATTGGTACCGATCTCTCTTGTTCGTCAATTGCGGCTTGGCCTTCTATTGTTGGTTCTCTACGACTCTCTCAACACCACCCGACAACAGGGAAGGATACTCTCGTTGCAACCGAGGAGCGGTATGATGGGGCCGCTATGCCATTGGTACCGATCTCTCTTGTTAGTCAATTGCGGCTTGGCCTTCTATCGTTAGTTCTCTACGACTCTCTCAACATCACCCGACAGCAGGGAAGGATACTCTCGTTACAACCGTGGAGCGGTATGATGGGGCCGCTATGCCATTCGGACTGATCTTATCGGCGCCGTTTACGGAAGTAATCAACGTAACGTTTCAAGGATACGGATTTCAGTTATCTATTTGGTAAATGGGGCCGCTATGCCCGAGGACTATAGCATTCAGATATCTATTTGATGGATGGGCCGCCATGCCCGAGTACTACACCGTTCAGATATCTATTTGGTGAATGGGGCCGCTATGCCCGATGACTATACCATTCAGATATCTATTTGGTGGATGGGGCCTCCATGCCCGAGGACTACACCATTCAGATATTTTTTGGTGAATGGGGCCGCTATGCCCGAGGACTACATCATTCAGATATCTTTTTGGTGAATGGGGCCGCTATGCCCGATGACTATACCATTCAGAATACGATCGCATCAATACGTATCACGATTCCCTGTTCGATATTTTGCACGCACGAGATTCTACACTGTAGAATCTAGTGACCTTTCTCACCGTCTAAGACTAACCCGACCCCAGAGACACCTCTTCTAACCGTCAGCATAAACTAGCGCGAGATTGATCTTATAGGCGATCTACACCAGCATAAGCATAAAACCGTTGAACGCTTAAAATGCCTCCCAACTTCACTCCAGACTTCAGAGTCCAAAGTACAAAAACGACGGGATAGTAGAATATCAAATCGATGGGCAAGCTACGGAACGAGATAATTCAGGAACAGCTACAAGTTTAATTTAAACTTCGCGTCGAGTCTTTTTCTCTCCGAGTCTCAAACATAGAAAATCTCCACAAGACACGTCCGACTCCGCCGAATCCGGGATCAGTAGACGATACAGTCTAACTGTGAAATTGCCACTCTGTAAACGATATAGTCGTGTGGTTAACTTGCACATCCACAGGCCGAATGTTTCGCAGATCTAAGTTAGATCATCCAACCCCTAGTCTGATTCACGCAAAATACTCTCTCAAACGACTGATGGAACCATTGATCAATCTATAGTGAATGGGTTTCTCCTTTCCAGAAATCCACTCCGCGATTGAGACCACCAATTTCGCAAGTGAGGAAATCACATTCGCGGATAGAGATAGCAATTAAACGGTAGCGTTTAGGAGAAAAACGCTCAAGGAGGAAATTGATTTCGGGTTGCGGTTCCGATGATGCAGCTTCAGTGTGCAGCCCCACAACCCCTTTCCGAAAAGTATCACAAGTCCACTCTGTGTGAATAATGAACTTCAGAAGATCCAGATAATGATCCACTCCCACATTTCCCCACATGAATACAAACTTGCAAATATATAAACATCATGCATATGTATAGAAAAGGCCGTTATCATCCCCAACCAACCAGGAACATCTTGGTGATGGGATTACTGTAAGAAGTCATCCCCTACTGTAATTGAGTCAACGCAAAACCTCGTAATGAACAGGAAGTATAATTCGACGTAATTCCATTCGGCTACTGAATCGTCATATTTACGCAACAAGAACAGCGAAAATAAGTAAATCGTTTTACGAGAAGAGCGTTCATCGTGTTTCCGACAAACTACTCGCTTGCGAAGTAAGGCAGTTCCTATGCCAAACACTTCACAGAGTGAAGGATGAAATCAAGAGACTTCCTTAGAACTGTTAGTAAATTTATGCTCTCATTTTGAGCCGTGAAATAAAAACATTTACTTCAAAAACTTAATTATTCCCGATACTTGTCTCATAAATGATTGCAGTCAGACTGAGAGGATAAAGCAGGAGCGAACAAATAAACATCAGCGCGCTCCAGTACCTGAGAAAAAATGCAGAATAATAACCAAGTCGGTTCGAATGAAGAACGCAAAGAGATGCTTTCTCATATCTAATAATGAGAGATATGGCGCTTCGTGAAGAATACGAAAAGCAGAGTAATGGGGTGGAAAATTCCGATGAGACAGAGTAAAACAATATGAGATAGAATAGAACCCACGACCTCTCCATCCCAATACTACCATCTTTTCCATCCCGCCACTGTACCCCTTTCCGACTCGAATATTTTACAGTAAAGGTAGCTGGGCATCACGAAACAGAGCAGATTTCCACAGATCAACCCAACAAGCTCGAATACTATCCCCAACGATGACACAACGAAAGATAGCGATACAACACATAGTAGCATTATCGTAGTAGTAATATATCTAGAAACGACACCACCACGGATCGAACCGGGGACCTTTCGATTACTCAGTACCTGAGATTGCACTCAGCCTTGTCGCATGTCGGTGGTTTCCCGCGATAAATCAATAGTTCGACACTTCTTCGACTTGGATGAATCGTCAACGGCAATGAGAAACTCACCTGAACGGAAAGCGCATCTTCGTACATTGAAAAAGTCAAAGCTAGTTAACCCAGACGACTTCACAAGATGAAACATTTGACCAGTGTTGTAATATATGATCGCTTTCCTCAGCTGACCCTAGGAGCTTCCTCACTAATTATATGGGTTCATATACGAACTAGGGTAGAAATGTACAGAAAACAACAAGAATTTTGCAAAATTTCCTCAGAAATTCTATATTGTCACCAACATATGTGGTCCACCATGTGCATATTCTTCCACACTGCATTTGACAGCAACAGTAACATACAACAAAGAATAACGCGTAACGTATAAATCAAATAACTAGTGGGGCTATCAATGATCAATATATAATCTTATATGTCCATATTCACGATATACGTAATGAAGATATAGCCTATTCCAGCGGTATACTATATATGCATATTCTCTATAATGGCGTACCGTTAACCCCTATAAAAAATTAGCTGTTAACACCCGTTTAACGTGGAGGGGTGAAATACTCCATGTAAATTACAAGACGTGTATGTTTCCGCGACCGCCGATAACACATTTGTTCTTCGCAAAATGAAATTTGAAATATGTTGTTCACTATTGCTTTTCATATCACGGGTGAAACTCCCTTATAACACTTATTACTTGACACTATGCAGTACGTGCCAACTCGATATGCAAATGTGTGTTATTCCAACAAGTTGTCGCTATCACAGTCCCAAACGGGTACTTTCATCACAACATATGTTCATAGCCATTGTTACATTGTATATGTTCCACACTGATTCTCATTAACCTCAAAAAATAACGCACATTAGCATATCAAATTCGCACGTACTCCAGAGTGTGATCTACCATGTCTACAGGTCGACATTCTACCCCCATGAAAATCAAGCTCGAACAACTTGCAAAAATATGATTTTTTTATTCCGTCAATCATCAAAACCAACTTACCGAAAGCGCTGCCGCAACATACGCAATTTTAATAGGCACATCGCTCACTGGCATTGACGTGAGGAAATTGTCTGAAAAAATGACATCCATGCAAAAAGCGCGCGCCCTGGTGATCGATTCTCACCCCCGACATCTGGGCCATATGTCATATACGGCAGAACCATCGTCGGTAGGAAGATGACCAACCCAGTAGTCACTGCACTGACACTTACAATATTAAGTTTACGAATAGTGACCTTCGGCATTTCCTCTGCAACTTGGAAGAAATTATGATGACACATAAACGCAAACATAAAGACCGGAAATCGCGCCAGCATTCCCACCCAGGATACCGGCCAAAGCGATGCTGAATCGAGCGACGGTTTAGCGTAAACGATCGCGAGTACTGCCAGATAGCCCAGGGAAACTAGACCGAAAGCATTGGTGAACCTACCAAAAAGTTGGTTTGAAAAGGAAATATCCATGAGATACATCAGAGTGATTTCCGAGTGAATGAATTATCATAATTCTCCTTGAATAAAAATATACCAAAATTTGCTAAATAGAATCCTTACACAGCCGATAGTTTTCCTCGGGAAGAAAACTGAAATATCAAAACCACCGACTCGAAAATTCCGAAAATTTTTCTGAGTATTCTCAAGATTTTATTTCTTTACCATAAAAGCTGCAAATTTTCCATGAGCATTTCGAAATCAGGACAAGTACAGCTATGTTCCGTCGAAACTCAACCGATAAACTCACCTGGTTGCATTCAGTCGATGCGCGTAGATGACCGGCGAAAGCAACACAACGACGCCGATAATAACCAACCGCTTTAGAGTCTCTGGTGCCAACCCAGTGGGGTGTAGGTTCTCAATAATAGCGGCGAACAGGGTGCCCGAAATGAGGAGGAAACCGACCGACCCGCCGAGGCCTTTGATGACAATACTCAGATCAACCAACCTGAACATACATTCAGACGACAATTTTATGAATCAAGATGAATATATCCGATTCATTGCATTGACTCATCGAGTGAGACCAACTTTTAAGCTTACCATCGCAAACTTGGGTTAACCAGCTTGGTTACGTTGAAAAACGACATCATTCCATAGGTTTTCGAGTCGTAACTCTGGGCAATATACGACATAAGATAGAGCGAAAACCAACTGGCGATACCGGCGAACACGCAGAATACTATAGCGAAAATAACGCCTGAAAAGAGTGAGCAGATCAGACACATGAAGAGCATATGTTCAAGTCAGTGGACAACAAAAATTCTATTCAGCCCCACCTACCGAATTGTGTCGCAGCGAAGCATCCCCATCATCCCGCTGCCCACCAACGTTTTGGCCATAACCGAGTACCTAAAGGATTGGGAAAATTGAGAGTCAATGTAACTAGGGAGCGATCATTAGAGATCGATTCGGAGTTACAGCTACATGATTACTGTGCAACAAGGGGATTCGATGAATGACCAACATGATGAGAAAGGAGGAAAATTGGAAGTTAATGGGATTCCCAGCTACTACCGAAAGACAAACGATTTTTGCAAATTTTCCCGGGAAAAATACGCGAAGTGTCTGCAATGGAATAATTGCCTACGCTGGGCCAACACCAGTGAAGTCGAAAGCCTTCTCTTTTTGAGCTTCTTTCGTGGTGACAGGCAGCAGAGCTTCATTTAGTGAAGTGCGAGTAGAGATAGATAACGACTCTTGAGGGGTAACGAGAGGAGAAATGTTCATTGGAAAAACGCTGATCTGGTAAAAAGACGTTCCTCCTGTCCCATTCAAGTAGAAGAGGGAATAACCGTGAAAAAACCGAATGGATTAATCGATATTTTTTTCCAAATTTTACACCTTTTAGATGAAAAATTTCCTTCCTTGGATAATTTTCCGAGGTGGGGCAGATATGCCATCCAGAAAAATTCTACAGTAAAATTAATTATTCGAGGTGGGGCAGATATGCCATCCTAGAAAATTCTACAGTAAAATTAATTTTCCAAGGTGGGGCAGGTATGCCATCCCAGGAAACTCTACAGCAAAATTAATTCTTCGGAATGGGGCAGATATGCCATCCTAGGAAATTCTACAGTAAAATCAATTCTTCGGGGTGGGGCAGATATGCCATCCTAGAGAATTCTACAGTAAAATTAATTCTTCGAGGTGGGACAGATATGCCCTTCTGAGAAATTTCTAGTAGAACCAAGTTCTCGAGAGGTGACGGATATGACAAACCGATATATGGAAAACTAGGTTAAATTTATCTGGGTGGGGCGGATATGCCACCCAAGATGAGGCTCAGCAACATGAATTTCACAGTCCCACGAAGCACTGAATACTTCATCTTCAATCCCGAGGTGGCATAGACAACTCTTGTAGTGGTATATCCGCTCCATCGGAATAGACCAGTCTTAGTAAGGCACATCTTGTAGTGGCATAGTCGCCCCACCGGGATAAACTGATCTTACTAGGACAGATCTTGTAGTGGCATAGTCGCTCCAGCGAAATAAACTGATCTTACTAGGACAGATCTTGTAGTGGCATAGTCGCTCCAGCGAAATAAACTGATCTTACTAGGACAGATCTTGTAGTGGCATAGTCGCTCCAGCGAAATAAACTGATCTTACTGAGGTACGTCTCATAGTGGCATAGTTGCCCCATCAGGAAAGACTGATCTCGATGAATCATATTTTGGAATAGCATAGCCACTCCGTAAGAACTGACCTGATCTTACGTATGCTCATATTGGAATGGCATATGTGCCCCACCTGAAAAAACTAAACTTATCGATGCATATTTAAGTGTCATAACGGCCCCACACGAAGAAACTAAACGTATCGCTGCATACCCTGATATGGCATAGCTGCCCCAGAAAAAAGATTTCATCTCGGATTCCAAAAAAATAAAATTACAATTTTTTTTCTCATTTGAGATCAAAAAATTTTAATAGAGGGAAAATTATTTTCCCCACACTAATTTTTTTTCCGAAAATCGTTCGTTTTTTTTTCGAAAAATAACCATCACGAAGACACCACCAGTAGCGTTCCCACGCCTTTTCCCAATAAAATTAAAAAAATCCATAAATTTCAACGGTGAACTAGAACGAGAGATGTATAATGAAAAAGAATGTTAAACGCAATAGTTCATTACGGAAAGTCATTTCAAATACCGACTTCAGAAACAACTTCCAGTGTCCCGCTGGTTTATCGGAGCACTTGACGATTGGCAACATCCAACAACCTCTACTTAGCACGAAAATCACGGAATGTAATTTCGGATAGAAAATGAATCTTGCTCACTTCTCTAGGACACATCGTATATCAATTCGCAGCTCCTCAGATTTGATGCGATCACAAGATTGAATTTTGGTTTCATCACAAGCTCAACGATTGAAAAACTCTTCCTAAAAACAGTGAACTCTGAGGGATGAAACACAAAACATCTCTTGTGTGCTACTAGCGTCGTTCCAACAAGAGAGTGTCACGCGCCACGAAATCCCGATCTTTCATTCTAACAGCAAGTTGCAGCATGGTTTTCCTATTGGCTAACTGCAGAGGTAAAAGTTGAAAATTTAGACTATGTGGTTACCTCGAGTCCGCTGTGTTTTGCTCATTTTCAGGTCGACTTGAATATTTCTTTCGGTCGCGTTGAAGTGCACTGCAAGAGCTTGCGATTAATTAGCGGTATAGCCCGTTGAGTGTAGAGTTTAAATTACAGTTTCATTGATTATTCTTATTAGTAGTGCAAAGCGCTGGCAGAAGGTTCTTATACGGTGATGCCGCGATGGGTGAGTTATGGTAAGGTTTCCTCAGTATAGTTGGAGTACGACACTCCTATACTTCTGCGAAGACTATCTAATCGGCCCTGTTTGTCCAACCTGGAATGTTGCTATCAGCTCGAATGGGCTGATATTTCCGCAGCTGTGATGTGTGCTACAATCATCAATGCATCAGCATGCGGTCATGCAATAGTCAGTAGCAGTTATATAATAGGTTATTTTACACTAGTCGTTGCGCGCACTCATGTTTTGATATCGTAATATTGACCGCACTCAATATTTTCGGTAATCATGAGTAGCGCGAGTCAATGATTTCGTTCATATTTTGATAGAAATATTATTGTTTCTTCATCTCCTCAGCGGATATTCCATCATCTCGTCTCGAAATACGTAGAGTGCCTTGTCTGAAAGACAACTATGGATGGATATTGCGATGTCCGAAGGCAATAATTTCGTGGCGCGCGGTAAAAAATGTAACAGTGATTATTTTCCGTTTTAGACTGGAACCATCGGTCTGGTCGATACACCCGAGGCGGGTCCACTGCTAAACGAACTGAGGAAGAAATTCAACGGACGGTGAGATGAAAATTTTCAGTCTTATCATTTGTTGTTGAGATTGGTAATCAATTTCAGCAACCATTTATGTCGTATTTCAGTCACTGGTTCATTCTCGTTGTGAATTTAGTTTTATTTATGTGTAGTTAATTGTTTCCGTAAGGATCGACTATAATTCTCAGCATTACTTGTGCACAGACACGACGTGATTTTGGTATGTGACTGAATTCAGGGTGGCTGAAGTAAGGTGCCGCCAGACCGCGAAATATTTCACCTGAAATATTACTGAATTTTTCAGAAATTTTCTGAAAAATTTGACTGCGTTTTGGGTGACATTCAATCATCTTTATCAGCTCCATGTATGACGGCAACAGTATGCGAGACCTTGAGGGCACAAGGATCATCATAATAGCGCATAGATCATAGTATGATCATCGCAGTATGCATGTATTTTCTCAAGGATTTCACAAAATCTGGGAATGTCGACTGGTAATTGACGGTGCAAATCTTTCACCAGCGAGGGACTGCAAGGCCGTGTTTAATCGAGACCCCTTTTACTTACCTACCTAAGATAGGTAAGTAAAAGGGGTTCTCGAGTTCATTACCGTTCAAAGGTAAGCTACCTTCAAAGGGTAAAGAACTCGAGAACCTAAGATAAGATAGTCCCACTCACGGATGAGAACCGGTTAGTTTACTGAGTAAACTTTACTCAAGCCCCTCGGACTCGCCCTCAATTTGGGAACATTCATGATCTAATGTTAGTTCTTTTGAGCAAGGTGAGCAAGGCCGTCAGTTCGTTCTACTAATCCACGTCCTCAAGGACTTATTTGAGATTGCGATGAGGCCCAATCAGTTTGCCTTATCCCGTCCCTAACTCGCGGAAATGCGGATAAGTACATCATAATTCTTCGCCGAAGTAGATAATCGCGTGCCACAAAACCCGTGAGCACGATCCCCGGTTAATGAAGCTCTAAAGCATCTTTCTCACTTTGTGTTTAACTTGATTTTGGGGAAAAATACGCACAACTTCTGTTCTTCGCTGTAAGTTTCCAAAACGTTGCTTAGTTCAGAACCAATACTGTAGCTTGATCTCATTTCGAGATTAGTCTCCTCACACTTGAGAGTCTGGAAGTCTCAAGTTGAGACTTAGAGACTTCTGAAACGTTCTTTGAGTTTTCAAGTTTGTGAGGTTAAAGTCTTAATCTTAAGATTCGCCAGATTGACGAATCTGAAGGGCTTGGCGATGCCAATCTTTATGGGCTAGTGGAAATCTCTTAGTGGAAGATACCCGGAGTGTTTTCACGCATCATCAGACATCCCGTAAGATAAAAGCGATTTTGAAATACGGGGCCCCATTTCGAAGCTCAAAATTCGAGCTTTTCAATGATGAACTGGAGTTGGTGTTTGGGATGAGCTCTTGTGATCAAATCATTTGATTCAAATGTAGTACGATACAAATCCATCTCATGCCTATCGCCAACCGCCCGAGACGGAGAAGATTTTCAGGGATGCCTTCTTGAGATGGAGCACCGGCCCAGCCGGTCCGGCCGACTTCTCGAGAAGGAAGGCGCTGTCGTTGAAACTCTATTACATTGAATTTCAGTATTCCATAACCGAAAGTTTGCACACTTTGTCTGAGGCTATTTTGTTCTTCATAAGAATCTCATGATGAGATCAATACGTGCGGGTGGGTTGACTATATCACCGCCAGAAGATACGCGCTAGTAGTACAATCAGGCTGCAGGACCACGCAATAGGTCCTATCGGATAGAAAGATCAATACCGTTGGTTCGACTGGAGTATTTCCTACTTCAA